GATGACCTTAGGAAAGAAAAAGGGAATAGCAAAACCGCTGGAGTCACCTGGCCTCCCTAAATTAGATACTTTCGGGCTTGGCTTCGAGCCGACTCGGAAAGATCTTAAGCGAGCCCAGGAAAAATCAAAAGCACGTAGGGACGCTCATATTCAAAAGAAAGCAATCCCAATGGATCAATACCCTCTCACCCTTAAAGGTCAATTCATAAAAGAAGGAGAGGACTATCCATGCCACGAATTTCCCGAACCATTTGTCGTAAACGGCATAAGACAACCGGGATTTGAAATTTTCTTGGATTGCTATTTCACAGATGAAATCCCAACCCCTATCCATAGGGAGAAAGCACCCCCATGCTTTGACTTTAATGTCATGGGATTATTATGTGGGCAAGAAAAGGATGAGCCGAAACACAAAGAGGATCACTCCTCGCTCATTCAAACAGTCCTACAAAGCGAAAGTTTTGATCCCTCGAAGCTAATTACTCCAGCAGAAGGATCACTACAAGGGTGGTGCAAGACCGTCAAGGTGACGACTCTAAGAGGAAGAAAGATCTCCATCACGACAGGACAAGGACCGATGTTTGAAGAGTCGTCTGAGTCAGAGTCAGAGTCTTTCCCTATAGAGTCATCTAGGTCTTTAGTAATAGCACCTTCCCCTTCTATCTCTTCTCCCAGAATAGTTAGTGATCAAGTCCCTGAGGACATATCACTCTTTGATGTAATGATCTCATAGTATAATAATATAACTTCTTCTCCTTACTTCTTGTGTTCTTCTTCAACCCAAGATGATGAGCATTGCTTAACTAACAATGAAAAAGACGAAGAACTTATTAAAGCAATGGAAACACTTGAAAAGAAAACACCGATAATTGAAGAAACTGAGACGGTTGATATCTCAAATGATTCAACCAATAAAAGAGAAGTTAAAATCGGACTAACACTTAATGAACAAGAAAGAACCGATTTAATTAACTTACTTAAAGAATTCATCGATGTATTTGCTTGGTCATACGAAGATATGCCAGGCATTAATAGAGAAATAGCTCAACACACTATACCACTAATTCCAGGAATGAAACCTGTAAAACAAAAGTTACGTCGAATGAAACCCGACGTAGCTCTTAAAATAAAAGAAGAAGTTCAAAAACAGATAACTGCAGGTTTCATCAAGGTATCAAAATACCCCGAATGGGTCGCCAACGTCGTCCCAGTTCCGAAAAAAGATGGAAGGGTAAGAATGTGTGTCGACTATCGAGATTTAAATAAGGCAAGTCCAAGGGACGACTTCCCTTCACCACACATCGATATTCTGGTGGATAACACAACAAATCACGCACTTCTTTCGTTCATGGACGGATACGCAGGTTACAATCAGATTCTCATGGCGGAAGAAGACATGGAGAAAACAACCTTCATAACACCATGGGGCACTTACTACTACACGGTAATGCCATTCGGGTTGAAAAACGCGGGTGCTACTTACCAACGTGCAGCGACTCCCTTACTCCATGACATGATGCACAAAGAAGTCGAAGTATATGTGGACGACATGACTGTAAAATCAAAAGACCGTCCAGACCATCAAGTAGCCTTAAGAAAACTTTTCGAAAGGCTAAGAAAATACAATATGAGGTTGAACCCATCTAAGTGTGCTATTAGAGTCACCTCGGGCAAGCTTTTGGGTTATGTCATAAGCTCTAAAGGAATAGAGATAGACCCAACCAAAATCAAAGCAATCATGTCAATGCCACCGCCCAAAACCGAGAAGCAAATTCGAGGATTCATTGGCCGGTTGCAATACATAAGTAGGTTCATATCAAAATTAACAACGATATGTGAACCAATCTTTAAGAATATACCAGTAATATGGGATGACGAGTGTCACAAAGCCTTTGAAAATATCAAAGCCTATCTCGCAAATCCTCCCGTATTAGCACCAGCACTTCCCAGAATACCTCTTAGGTTGTACTTAACAGTTACCAAAGAGACGATGGGAGCTATGCTAGCACAAGAAGTAGAAGGCAAAGAGAACGCAATCTACTATCTAAGCAAGAAAATGCTCGAATATGAATCATGTTATACGCCACTTGAGAAATTGTGCCTCGCCTTGGTGTGGGCCACGACCAAGTTAAGACATTACATGCTAGTGCATATCGTCTTTGTAGTTTCCCGATTAGATCCACTCAAGTATCTATTCGAGAAATCTACACTCAATGGACGCATATCGAGATGGATAGTCAATTTATCCCAGTTTGATGTAAGGTTTATGCCGCAAAAAGCTATCAAAGGATCTGTGGTGTTAGACTTCCTAGCGGACTTTCCAATAAAAGACTCGACGCCAATACACGACAATGAATTTCCAAATGAAGACTTAATGGTCACTGAAGACGATACTTGGACTTTATACTTCGACGGAGCCTCAAACCAAAAGGGATGTGGCGTTGGAGTATTGCTAGTATCACCTAAAGAAGAGCATGTTCCAATCTCCATAAAGCTTGATTTCGACGTTACCAACAACGCTACTGAATAAGAAGCATGCGTGGTAGGCCTTGAAACAGCTTTGGCATTGGGAGTAAAAAAGTTACGAATATTCGGAGACTCTTCATTGATCATCAATCAAATCTCCAAAAGGTGGAAAGTAAGAAGCGAAAGTCTAGCCCCTTACCAAACCTATCTAGAAACTCTTACTAATCAGTTAGAGAAGGTAGAATACACATATCTACCTAGAGAAGAAAATCAATTTGCTGATGCCTTGGCAAGACTAGCCTCAATGGTTAGGATTCCTACAAAAATCGAGCAAATGCCTCTAACTATAGAAAAAAGGCACAAACCAGCATATATTCAGGCTATAGAAGATGATGAAATAATCCAAAAAGAAGAAGAAGAAGAAGAAGAAATAATCCAAGAAGAAGAAGAAGAAGAAGAAGAAGAAGAAGAAGAAGAAGAATCGTGGTACACGGATATACTCAATTATGTCATCAAAGGAGAATACCCTCCCCATGCTGACAAAAGAGAAAAACAAGCATTAAGACTCTTGGCTTCCCAATATGTACTCATAGACAGCGAGCTACATAAAAGGGTACCTAAGGGTCGAGCTCTCTTATGTGTAGGAAAAAAGGATGCCCAAAGAGCAATGAGGATAGTCCACGAAGGAATTTGTGGGACTCACATAAATGGCAAACTGTTAGTCCAAAAGATAATGCGAGAAGGATACTATTGGACTACAATGAATAGGGATTGCCATTAATACGTAAAAATATGCCCTAAATGCCAAATCTATGCCAATTTACAACATGTTCCTCCATCCTTGCTCTACACCTACACGTCGCCATGGCCGTCCTCTACATGGGGAATTGACATCATCGGCAAAATCACTCCCCCGGGAACAGGAGGCCACGAATATATCCTAGTGGCAATTGACTACTTCACAGAGTGGGTTGAAGCACAATCATACGCTAAACTCACTGCAAAACATGTAGCACTCTTTATCGAAAGAAATATTATTTGTTGATACGGAGTCCCACATGAAATGATAAGTGACAATGGAACTCACTTTCAAGCCGAATGTGAAGAATTGCTACAAAAATATGGCATTCAACATCATCATTCTTCCCCTTATAGGCCTCAAGAAAATGGAGCAGTCGAGGCAGCTAATAAAAATCTAAAGACTATCATCGAGAAAATGACGGAAAATTATAAGGATTGGCCTGACAAACTTCACTTTGCATTGTAGGGTTATCGCACGACACTTCGCACATCAACAGGAAATACGCCATTTTCCTTGGTTTATGGAATGGATGTCGTACAACCTGTCGAACTAGAAATTCCATCTCTACGCATCGCGTTAGAGAGCAAACTCGATGAAGTTGAATGGACTATAGCAAGATATGAAGAGCTAATTCTACTCGATGAAAAACGACTAGAAGCTCTACATCACACTCAGTGTTATCAAACTCGTATGGCTAGGCATTTTAATAAGAAGGTCAAGACAAGAAACATCAAAGTATGAGACTTGGTGTTAAAAGCATTAAGGAAAAATATTTTAGATCCAAGGGGAAAATTTAGACCTAATTGGTCGGGACCCTACATTGTCAAAACGATCCTGCCAGGAGGTGCAGCAAAATTAACTGATATGGATGGCAATAAGTTCTCGAACATGACAAATCTTGACCAACTTAAGAAATACTACCCACAATTACTTGAGTAGGGTACTCAAGAGAGCTACGTTTGGCCTGATTCCTTAAGAAAGGATACATAGGCTACCCTTTACGGGTGCGGCCACTTTATATTTGTAAAAATCTCGCATCCCAGAGTTAATAAAAATTCAACAGGAGATCGACGAAACATCGGGCGTCACAGAAAAAATTCTGGCGCCAGACGACGACACCCGTCGCCTGACGCCAGACTGCCGCAGCCGGCGCCAGTCGAAAAATCGTGGCGCCAATTTACAGTTAAATTTCTAGGAATATTTCGGTTGTTTTCGAAAAAATTTCGACTTCCGTACTCGAAAAAATTTCTGGAAAATTAATTCTTCGGTTTTCATTGCTTTAATAAAATAAATTTAAAGTAAATAATTTAATTAAAAATCTGGAATTTCATTAATAAAATAAACTACATTATTGATGGAATTTAAATTAATATAAAAACTAAGTCTAATAATTGGAAATTAAGCAATGCTCTTAATCTTCACTACTACAAAAATGAGAATATAGAACGCCTAAAACATGCAATATAGAACACCTCAGAGGCGTTCTTCTGAGGGGGTGCTTTATAAGTTCTACAGAACGCCTCTTTGAGGCGTTCTATATCTATCACAATACGGATCATATAGGCGCTTCATATTCTAGGTAAAAAATAAATAAAAAATAAAGAAAAGAGAGCTGTCATCTTAGGATAGGCGCTCTCTTTTCCTTTAATTTTTTTTTTAAAAAATAATTAAATTATTATTTTTTTTTAATAGAAATTATTATTATTATTACATAATAATAATAATAATAATAATAATAACAATAACAATTAGAATAACATTAAATTAATTTTAAAAATTACAAATATTTCAATTACAACAAAGTTCCTTGCAAGAAATTTACATTACAAGTTCTACAATACTTCGTACAAAATAATTAAGCCGATGGTGTCAATCCTGCCGCTGTCAAGCAAATTTCAACTCATAAATCTGTAAAAACATGTAACAACAAATGATAAGACTAGTTGCAATGTAATTTAAACTAAATTTTATACAACTTCAATCAATCCACCCCAACAAAAATAGATCTTAATACAATTTATGTTACAACAATAAAATCTCATCCCATAAGATATTAAAATAACCCCAGTTCATATAACACTCACAAAACCAGAATTACAGTTACAAACTAAACATAAAAAATTTAAAAATTAATAAAACAAACTAAACATAAAAAATGAAGAAATTGAAATAACTTGTCACCATTGCAGTTACAGCAACACTTCCAACCTTCCACCATCGGCGCACAAAACCAGAGCAACCGCACCAAACACCCACAAACACACCATCAACGAACAAAATCAGAACAAATCACACTAAACAAAAACTTTAGATCTATAATAATTATTAAATGAAAATCAGAAAATTTAGATCTAATATAATTGAAAATTAAAAACAAATCTAAAGATGAAAATAAAAAATTGCTCAAATTAGAGAGCTAAAATATCTTAGGATTAAAACGAAAATTTATAATGAAAATCAAAATTAGAAGTAGAATATAATCGAAAACTTTAGATAGAAAAAAAAAACATATAAAATCGTCTCTAAATCCCCAAAAATTCAACACAAACTATCCCAAAAACTTAATAAATATCTAAAATATAACAAAAGTAAAATCAGATTTAAGTAATAACCAAACCAACAAATTAGTTATAATCAGAAAATTGAGTTATAAACAAAAATTAGAAAGATTGAAAAACCTTGACCAATTAAATTCGAATCGACTTCTCATGGCACAGTGGTGGACGCTCGACGCTCGTTGCTCGGTGGTGGCTAGACTACGGTGTCGTCAGTGGGCGTGAGAAGCTAGACTACGGTGTTGTCGGTGATGGTGGAAGAGGAGAGAGAAAGAGAGGAAGGGGGGAGAGGAGAGAGAAAGGGGATATGAAGGAGTGAGAAAGAGAAGAAGACAGAAGGGGGCGGCTCATTTTGATACAAGTATTTAGGGTTAGTCGTGGTTAGATACATATTTTAATTTTATTTTTTTAAAAAAAAAAAAATTGTGATATTTATAGAACTGTGAACTGAAAGAGGCGTCTATATTGTGTACGGTAAATATGAATTTATCATATAGAGCTGTTAACATAGATAGGCGCTCTATAGCTTTTAACATACAAAACGCCTATGTTACATAGGCGGTCTGTATAATTCTATAGATCGCCTATGCAACTTGACTGTTGTGTATTATGTGTTACTTATTCTCTATTTTGTGGTAGTTCTTCTTTCTCTTTCTTAGCCCTTTTCCAATTTTTGTCTTCTTCTTCTTCCTCATCCATAACCTTAGCTAGTAGGCATCCTTTAGAGGACCTACATTCAATCTTGGAGTAAATAGTTTCCCCCTCAGCTACGACCCCATGCTTCTTTTCTACCTAAGCTTTCTTTTCTGTGGTGTCAGCTTTCCTTTTCCCTTTATATTTTGCAGTGCTCTTCTTCTTAGGTATTATAGGTGTTTTGAATTCGATCCTTTCACCCAGGCGTTCCTTAGCAGGAATCACCTTGTCACCTAGACGACTCTTCACATCAGTTTTACTCTGATTTTTCTTCATGTCCTTTGAGGGTTTCTTCAGAAGCCACTTTTTCACTTCATTGGGCAAAGAAGAAGGAACATTTTGGGTAATTACTTCCCATAAAGGTCTAGCGCTCCAAAAAGCATCAAATTTGTCTACTTCCTGGGAGAGAGGGAACTCGTAGGGACGACGAAGATCACCAGAAGGAATAGTCTGAAGTAGGCCGTATTGTCTTTTTACCCTGCAGGGATAATAAAAAGTCATACGGGACAAGCTTGGAAGACGAAATAAAGGCTGCTTGTTGACACCAACCATCTTTTCTATTTTCCACCAAGGGATGACCCACTTGATGGTAAAATTACAAGACTCGAAGACCTTCTTCCATTCATGGCGCCCCATCTTAGAGAAGCGTTTCTTCCTTCTCACGAAGCAATTTAGAGTATATTTCTTAATGTTGTCCGGAGGGCTAATTAATTCCAATCTTTTCATTAGCCACATCTATAAAAATAGCAATGCAAATAAATTATTATTACTATACACAAATATATTTTTGATTTCTGTAATTAAAAATATTATTTTTCTACCTATAATAAAATTGGAGAGCCCCGAAAAGGTACTTTTGGATTCCTCTTCAATTCATCGAGACTAAGCATAGTCTCTTTAACTATTAAAGGCATTGGATTTCTCCCTGATTCAATTTGTTCTAAAACAGTGGATATAATTGACTGACCCTCATTATTTTTACCACTAGCAAGAAAAAATTTATTAAGCATGCAAAACAAGAAAGCCCTTCTTCTATAAACATGGAAAGATTCAGAATAAGGCCTATCAAAATAATGGCGAGCAAATTCTTTCAAATTAACTATGCTACCATCTACTATTTTTGATAGATCTTTGTCTTTTAAATTGAAGAAGGGTTCAAAATCCTTATAATAATATTCATTTATTCTAGGGATTACTACAAGATCTAGTGCAGGGAAGCCTAAAATAGAACCAAATTCTTCCGGCAAAGGGCTAATTTCATCATACCCTATTCTAAAGCAATGAGTATCTACATCCCAATATTCTAGAGCGGTATGAATAAAATCTGAATCAAGATCTACCCCTTTGATACCATAAATACCCCCCAAGTGAAAAACATCTAATTCTTTTCTCTCCTTGGCATTAAGGGACCGACACCATTCATGGGTGTAGTTGGTAAAACTTTTGGAGACTAGAGACATGATACTATTTTTCTAAAAGCTAAGAAATATTTTATCTGATGAAATTATGAAGAGAATCGGCTGGGCAGGGGGCTATTTATGCACAAAATCGGAGCAGTTTTAATCCAGCAAGGATTCGGAGTCAGCGCTCTTTAGCGCCAGACGCCAACTATTGGCGCCTGACGCCATAGCCTGGCGCCAAACGCTAAGTGTAGCGCCTGGCGCTACACCAAAACGCGTGGCGCCAGCTGGCGCCAATATGCCTCATCGTACGCGCTTTCTAAAAAACCGCGTTTTCGACTTAATTTGAGTCTGCTAATGACTTTACGGTTTCCTTATCTTTTTAAAAATATTCATTTATTCCTCTCTTTTAATTAATATAGCTATTATATTAATTATATTATTTTTCTGATTTTATTTCGTCTACCTTCCAAGTTTTTATTTTATTTGACTTTTCCATTTTTCATTTTTTCTTTTTTTGGGGAGAAAGTCGAAAACCCTCCATCAAACATAATAAAAATGACGGAATTTTTGCGCAAAATTATTTTTTCACATTTTCTTTGCACACACAAACATGCACATAATAATAATAATAAATTAAAAAACATGATAAATAATGAATAAACTCATAATAGTATTGTAGGGAATAATTTCAAGCCTTTAAAATCCCACTAGCTTGAACCCCACTGTGATCATACACTAAAGTACGGTGGCGTCCAAAGGGAAAGAAGATAGAGCAAAAGAGTCGCCAACAAGTTTTTAAGGAACTTGTAAACCGTTCACGAGGTGAAGGTTACACCCCTTAACGATCCAAGAGATCGTCAACTCCATAAGGTCTTGAATCAAATAAGGGTTCGGGGATGAAGGTACAAATTCAACCTAAAAGAGATTGAACCTGCCCTAATAATAGGCCTCTACTTTATTCTGATCGTATTCATGTGCGCTTTTTGATTAACATACAATCAATTGGATTAACCCTAAACCTGTTTATCTATGTTGGTTGAATTTAATGCACAAATAAATCTATTATTGGCGATCACTTGAAATTATAATCAAAATTAACCCTAACAAGATTATTAAATATCCTATTAAGCGTGATTACAAGTACCAAATTCCCTTTAAACATGCATAAAAGGTGTGATCAAGCAATAAATAAATAGCAAGCAACACAACAATAAATATCATGAATAATAATTATAATAATCATAATAATAAAATAATCATCATAATAACAATTATAATCATAATCATGTTCATGTTAATATTAAAGCATAATAATAAAAATAGCAAGATCCTAGGCATGATACTAACAAGATTAATAACAAACCCTAGCATGTCACTAAGCAATAAAAATCAAATCTTTAACCCTAACATGATACTAGCAATCACAAATATTAGGAAGAACATAGGAAGCATCGTAACAATCATATTAAATGTTAAAAATACCCTAGACATAATACTAGGAATATCATAATAACAATATAAACATGATGTCTACATCATAACATCAATAAATCAATTAAAGTACTTACTTTGATGCCTCGTACCTCTTTCTAATAACAAAATACACACGTTAGTAACTTCAAGGAAAATAATAAACAAAACAATTAAATTAAATAATTCAAATAGAGATTTGGGACCAAACCCTTAGAAATTAAAACCTTTCACATCTAGGGCGAAGGCAACTTCGAATATGGCTAGGTGTTTCTAGATCTTGTGAATGCGGAATTTTGTATGAAAAAGCAAAGGTTTAGAAAAAGAAAGAATCGAATGTTGAAGAGAGATGAATGGTTTAGAGAATGCTAAAGAATTAATGATTGTTGATGAATGATGGATGTAGATGATTGGTGAATGATAGATGTAGATGATTGGTGAAAACGGAGTTTTTAATACGATATTTATAGAGAAAATCAGCCAAAAAAGATAAATTAACAAAACAGAGTCTGACGCTCAGAAAACAGGGCTGGCGCCAACCCTGGCTAGCTGGCGCCAGGCACCACCACTAGCGCCAGGCGCTAATGGCTAGCGTCAGGCCTGGTTCTAGGCGCCAAGGCCTGGGGTTAGGCGCCAAGCCTGATTCCAACGCGTTTTTGAAAATCCGATAAGTTTACCGTACTAGAGGATAAAATAATATAATTTCCTCAAAAATTCTATTTGATTTTGATTAAAACTCTGAAAAGTCAACAAAAGTCAATTTATCAATGCTAATTGAATTAGGAATGAAAAGAACCTTCTAGAAGATTCTAGAACACTAAAACCATTCCTAATTGCATTAGGAATGATAAATCATATTAGGCCCTCCCCTAGATCATTGGGCCGTATATAAAGCTCAAACCGGGCCCAGTTTGGTTAATTGGCCATAACTTCCTCAATATTCATCGGAATTGGGCTTATAATATATCGTTGGAAAGGTCTTTGCAAGCCCCATCCAACTACACTACTATTGGACCCATATCATGGACCAACTAAACTGGATTGGCTGTTTTCTTAAAATAAGTTTTCAAAAACAGAGAGAAGAGAAAAGAAATTAAAACTTTCCGCAACACTAGACTTTCCACACTTTCTCTTCATTCGATTATGATTCGACGTGAAAGGTACTCATCAGTGGGTTTGGTTTTGGGGAGACACAAATGGGTGTCTACAAGTATGTATATACAAAATATGTCTAAATAATGAGTCTAACTAAAAGGCAAAGTTCTATATAAAGTCAAAATAAATAATGAAAAGCACAGGAACAAACTACGGCGTCGAGGGACGTAAACCCATCATCTCATAAAACTCCGTCGTACGAGGAGTAACCTCTCCACCAGCTCCAGCTCCAGCTCCAGCACCAGTTCCCTCGGGAGGAGGAAAACTCAACACGGGACCCGTCCACCCAAGATCAACCTGAGGCTGAGGCTGCAGTGGCTGCTGCGATGACGAGCCGACCTCGTACATCCCACCACCTCTAAGAGCCGAGGTAGCCTCTCCCTAGCCTACCGGCGCAACATGTGCACCCACAGATGAAGAGCCTGAGCCCTCTACCGCCTCAGTACGAGCAGCCTCAGAACGACCGCCCCGACCTCCCGAGGCAGTGCAGCGACGTCTCGAGCTAGATCTCGCCGGATCCCTCCGCGCCTCTGGTCTCGTGCGGGTACGAGAAGGAATGGGCTGACCCTGCAAAAGAAATTAAAATCAGAAACAGGCAAAATAGAAGCGATAATACAAAAACATATGAAGGGAAGACTACCTCCTGAACGGCGTCGTCTCGACGGCAGGTAGCCACGTTCCTCATCCAGACAAGCTAGCTCCGGAAT